ATGCAATATAATTATTACTTTGAGAAAAACTTTATGTAATATAAGCAAATTTCTATAACATTAAGATGAGCCACTAAACATACATGTTAGGTTGTTATTTAATAGCGGCTCAACCTCAAGGAGCTTCCAAACAGGAATAAATATGGAGTCCAAAAGGGAAATGAAAAGATAATGCCAAAATACGTTTACCATTTTTATTAAATGTAACAATGTAAAACAACAATAAAATATGATATAAACTATATATATAAATGATATAAACATGGTACATACAGTTAATGAGATTTGCACTCTAAAAGATTACTACCTTTGACTTATGTGAGGTGAGATTGTCAACTACCATCTACGAATATCATTGTTCCCCATGGTGTAAGTCTGAACGTTGATTGTAGCACGCGTTGCTTCTCTGAATTGGACTGATATCTAACTGTAGCAAGGGCCTTAAACCATCTCGGTTGTTCTTACTGTGCCAAGGGCATTAACTCATCTCACTTATCTGATCGCTAAGTGGAATGTTCTATCTAAACCCCTAAACTGTCTTGCGGTCCCAAATGTAATGCCCTGTATTCCTTTGGATCTTGTTGGTACGTCTGAGAGATGGGCCATGTAGTTAGAACAGACTACTGCCTCCTTTTACCATTGCTCAGGCCTGCACCCTGAAGAGGTCACTGCAGTCTCACCACCAAAGGAACTGAATTTTGACAAAACTATCTTTACCTTGAGAGATAAACAGGTGCCTACAGATGCATTCTTTTTTTAAAAGTTAATAGTATTTATAGACCATATCTATATGTTTAATATTGTTGGGTTGTTATTTTATGAAGGCTCCCTAACTCAAGGAATTTCCAAACGAGAATAAATACGAGGTACAAAAGTGAAATGAAAAGAACGATGCTAAAATACGTTTATCATTTTTATTAAATGCAACAGTGTAAAACAACAAAATAACATGACATAAATATGGTACTTACAGTCAATGAGGTTTGCAGTCTACAAGATTACTGCCTTTGAGCTAAGATGAGGTGAGGTCGTTAACTACTAAATATATTTGTTTCCCATGGTGTGAGTTTGGACGTAAGTTGCAGGACGTGTTGTTCGAACTTCTTCTCTGGACCGGAATGGTATTTAACTGTGGCAAGGGCTCTTAATACATCTTAGTTGTCCCTATTGTGCAAAAGGGCAACCACTCACCTCAGTTACTTTCCCGCTAGGTGAGGGATTCTATTTAAACCCTACATACTGTTTATAGATTTTATTTTCATAAAATATCCTGTCAATAACTTTGCTAAGAGATTTTAAGCATATTGTCTGTAACTGTGAGATGGGCATTTAAATATATGATCTGTAACTTTTAGAAGTGTCATTAAAATATTGTTTATACCTTTGAAATTATCCACTAAACATATTGCCCATGTCATTGAGAAGTGTCGTTAAAGCTATTGTCTATAACTCTGAGATGAATTATCGAACATACTGTCTATAAATTTGACAAGTGTCATTAAATATATTATCTATAACTTTAAGATCAGCCATTAAGCATATTGTCTATAACTTCTTGAAGTGTTATTAAATATAGTCTGTAACTCTGAGATGAGCAATAAAATATATTATGCATAAGTTTAAGAAGAATCATTAATAAGTCTTTGGAGTTCAAATCTTACTGGAAAAACGTGCGTTGCTAGAAGTAACCGAAATAAATTTGATCTGGTGCTCCCGCTGTTCATCTCGAAGTCCTCAACAACATCCAGAGATGGATATACAACGTAGTTGGTCCTGATCTGGAATCCCGTCTGCAGTCGCTATCTCAGAGACATGCTGTGGCTTCACTCTGCCATTTCTACAAGTACTTTCATGGCAACTACTCCGACGAGCTACTTTCACTGGTCACCAAACTGCATGAATTTAAGCGTGCTACTTGTTTGGCATCTCGGTCCCACCTTTTCACTGTCGAAACGACTAAATGTAACCATCTCTTCTACTCCAACAGCTTCTCCCTTCTTATCACTTACTTCCCTGATAGCTATAATCTTCAAAATATTCAAATGTAATGTCAGTCGACATTTTCTGATATCTTGACTTTGATCTCTGTCCTTCTCTTTATTCTTTTCCAAAACACTCCTCTTTACTCTTACTCTCACTCTCCGTAACTCCGTGCGTGCTTGTGGCACTCCTGCCTTTTAAATTTATAAAATGCTTAAACGTATTTTCGAGTTAAATCCATCAGCATAGCTGAAGACAAACTTCAGGAGAGCAATTCATTACGCCTTCTTGGTCTCACGTTTTCAATCGACTCGAAGTGGAATTATCATAGTGAATCAATTATTAGTTCTGCTGCTAGATAAGTTGGTTCATTTTGATGTGCCAGACGATTATTCAAGCTAGAATCCATTTTGCACGTCTATAAATTTACCATTCTTCTGTGCATTGAATATTGCTGTCATGTATGATCTAGTGCCTTTGCTATATATCTCGAGATTCTTGACAAAATCCAAAAGGTCTGTAATATTAAACGATCTTCATCTGGCATCTTGGCTTCAGACAATTTTCTACCGCCGTAAAGTGGTTTCCCTGTATCTTTCCTATAAGTATTTTCATGGAAATTCTTCTGATAGGCTTTCTTCTCCTTGCTATCTCGACTTCATGAATTTAAGCGAAGTGTGAGATCGGCAACTAGGTCTCATCCTTTTTATTCTTGAACTAGCTACATGTAACCGTAAGTTCTATTCTAATAGTTTCTTTTCTTACACTTCTGTACAACTCTTTTCCGGCTTCTTGCTTGTCAACTGCAAGGTTCAAATATTTTAGTGCAATATCAATCACCATTTTCTGTCTTCCTGAATGCTGTTATTTTATTGTCTCCATATAATGTCTTTCTTGTTTTCTTTTACTGTCAGTAACCCCTTAAGTCTTCGTGGCACTATCACCTTGCTTGGCGGTGAAACAATTAAAATACGCTTAAAGCATTAGTGATTTTTCAATAATGTAAATATTGTGAGAAAAATATTCCTAACAAAGGAAACGATTACCAGAGTTTCATAACGGTTTAAAAGTGTTTGAAGCCAAAAACACCTGCCGGTGCACGTTTCTCTTACAAATGTTTTTGTTGTCGAAACAGTTTGAAATACAACAATAAATTGATCGTAATTAGTGAGTTGAATACTTCACGTAGCATGCGTAATAGTTATCTTATAGAAAATTAAATTGTTGTGCCAAGTTCACTGCATTCACTTTCACACAAATACTCTTGAGAAAGTTATGAGTCTATCTCTTTTGTCCTCTCCAGCTTATTGTTAAATAGCACAACAGAGAGGACTCTCTAATTTGAGTGGGAAACCAGGCAAAGAGAAGGAAAAACTCTGAATTCAAAACCAGTTGAGCGTGCGGCACGCAACTCCTCCCCCATATAAAGTAAATACTACAGTAACCATAGTAGTAACATCTAGTGACGCTAGTCTGTGGTATTATATTCCACGGGGAGTTTAATGGTATTAAGAAAGCGGGTAATGATTAGATAAAATATATGTTTTTTTTTTTTTTAACAGAAATATAATTTGGTTTGTCGTTTCCTGAGCTCATCACAATGAAATGTACAGCATTAAATTAACCCATATCAAAACGTAAATTCTCAAGAAAGACCAAAAATTTTGATGGCCAATATGTTCTGAATAATTCATGTCGCAAAATACTTGATCTTGGTCATAATTTGGTTGGTTTGTTGGTTAATTTTGTTTAATGGCATATCAAACTCTATGCCGAAATCTGAATATTTTGAACACAATTTTATGGTTTCAATAAATATATTTTGAACGCAATTATATACGTTCAAATACAGATAAAATATATCGTTGGTCATTTTGCTATAAGATGCATTGTTGGTAATTCTATTATAAAATATGCAGTGTTGGTAATTTTTTTATATAAATATGTATTGCTGGTATTTTTACTATAAAAATGTATTTTTATACTTTCATAGTGTTTTGTTTTTGTTTATGGATTGACTATTTTCCCATAGCTGGGGCCTTAACAGGTGCTACAATCCCAGGTCAGAGTAGACCTGAGAACAACTTCGATTAAAAGGTTGATTGAAGCTCCTCAGAACCTCCGATCTCCCGATTAGAGGCCTTGCTAATAGATGTAGTTTATTTTCATACCCAGGACTCATATATATTTAAAAATAACTTCTCATTTGTCGAGGCTTAAAGCATAAAATGTTGGTGTCTGAACAATATATCCATTCCATGATGTTCTGGTCATGAACAAAACAGGAAACACGCACGCATATTTACATACATACATACATACATACATACATACATACATACATACATACATACACACACATGCACTCAAAGACATGACTACACACACCCAGATATATGGTCAAACACATATTCAAACACATACTCACATACACAGTCACACACATGCTCTCATGCTCATATACACATACATACATATTCATCTATAAATGCGCTTAAATACACTACCACGTACACCCAAGTACATGCTAAAGCACATACACATATTCAGGTTCATATGCAAGCTCACATACACGTGCACTCAAACACACGACTACACGCAAACAAATACACTTTCATACATACATACTTACTCTCATTCATACACACTCGTACACACATGCGCAAATGTACTCACACACACAGAGTCCTTTTTCTCCCTCTCCTTCTCACGCACTCTCCTCTCTCTCTCTTTCTCTCACTCTGTCTATCACACACATACACACACTGACAAACGTACATTTAGATTGTGTTGTTTTTTTTTCCTACAAGAACAGCAATTAATCTTTACCAAGTAGGGTGTCCCTTCAACTATAAACTTTTATGACAAGGAAAAAAAATATTGAATAAGCACTATAAATAATGGATTGAGGTGTAATGGATAACGGCTCGGAATGAGGGTATTTCCGCACGGAAATTGGAACTCAGCTCTCTAATTAACTATTCAGAGCCATTATCCATTACACCACCCGCAGATCCAAGCTTACAGCACCTGGTATTCCCAAGCGGTCGCTCATCTACGTACTGAACAGGCTCAGATTTTGCTTAACTTTGGGGATCGTACGGAAACTGGTATTTCAACTTAATGTGGACGTAGGCCTGGCTGATTATAAGTAATATCCAACATTCAAAGCTTTTGGAGCGAACAGTTTCTGATTGTCTTCAGACTACTCTGTCTTTATTTAATATTATATTATATATTCTGTAATCGTCTACCGCGTGTTGCTCTTATACAACGTGAATATCGTTGTAAAAAATGAATTTTTTAAAGTAAAAAATAGTATCTGCGAAAAGAAGCATGCTTGCATGTTCGGATCAACCATAAAATAAACAAAATATGTAATTAAATGGGAATTAAGCCTTTTAGGGATTTGGGAATCTCTATGATTAGAATGTTTGTTCACAAAAATATGGCGATTAGGTCTTAAGAAATTTGACGACGAAAAAATTTTGAACTTACGAAATCAGCTTTTTTCCCATTTTCACAGAAGAATTTTAAATGAATAAAAATGGCTATTTTTCCAACACTTTGAAATTAATATTACGTCAACAACAAGAACAATCTCAGATTCATATTTTGAAAACGCTGACACAACAGTTTCAGATGCAGATAGCTGCACAAAGCTCCGATAATTCGACTCTAAAGAGTTTCCATCGACTTATTAGCAAACAATAGTCCCTATTTCATGTATGATCCAGAAAACAATATCACATTTTTCCGTCGTTTAAACTCTGGAGGGCCACCTTCGAGCGCAATTTTCACACAAAGACGATGCATGGAAATCAAGACTTTTGCTTCGCAAAAGAAGCACAAAAAAACATGAACGTTTCACTAATTTCATTTTACCAAAACAGCTTTCAGATTTATCTTTTACAGAAACTGTTGACCAACTTTTCATCCGTTACTACTATTTAAAATTGGCGAAAAGCGACGCTCACGACTACGCAAATGTTAATCGCGAATGTGAGAAATTTCACCTTCAGACACTTGCTGAAGATCAATTTAAATATCTCATTGCCGGCTTCCAATCTCCACACGACACTGACATGCGCACGTAGCTATTATCCAAACTGCAACAGGATAAAGACGTCACAGTAAAAGCTCTTACGACTGAATCCCAGAGGTTTATGAAACACACTATGATGGTCCAACATCAGCCATCACTTTCAAGCAGAGTTCGAGCAAAGGAAAAACAGCCAAACGCATCAAGAAAGATTCCTCCTACTTCATGTTGGTGGTGAGGTGAATGGCACTACACACGCTTCTGTGCGTTCAAGAAACATGAATGTCAATTATATCAGAAACATGATGATAAGGAAAGTTTTTGTCAGAACTCAGAAGTGAAACTTCCAAATCAAATTCAAGAACACGTTTCAAATTTAGTTCGCGAAAGATTCGCAAGAAATAGCCGCATGGAAAATGGTCAATCACAAATTCTGTTTGCAACATTCAAAGTTGACTTTGAATCCGACAGAAAATATATTACTCTTTATGTTAACAAGATCCAACTCCGTTTTCAGTTTGACACAGCTTCAGATATTACGTTGATCTCACGATCCACGTGGGAACAAATTGGGAAGCCTGTGTTGCAGAAAACAAATCACATCGCCCGGAGTGCACCCGATAACGAGATTCTACTCACCAGTGTATTAAATTGCACAGTTACTTTTTATGAAAAACACTTTTCTGGTGCATGTTACATTACGGACTCTGATCTAAATTTAATTGGCTTAGGCTGGGTGGATGAGCTCGATCTCAATTCTGTTTTTAATACATTTTCTCTTTGCTCTGTTTTCGACACCAAGAAATACTTCACACGCACTCAAAACTAATTTCAGTGGTGCTTTTCAAGAGAAACTTGGGTGCTGAACGATTTTCAACGCCACCTTAAAGTTAAAACCAAATGATTAAACCGGTCTTTAGACCGAAACGCCCTGTTCCTTTTGATGCTCTTGACATAGTAATAAAAGAATTGAATCGCCTTCAGCAAGCCGGAGTAATCCAGCCAATAAATTACTCTGCGTGGGTAGCACTCATTGTCGTTGTCAAGAAGGCAAATGGAAAAGTCCGTATATGTGCAGATTATTCTGCTGGGTTAAACGAGTATTTCGATTTACATCAATATCTATTACCAATACCAAAAGACTTTTATCAAAGCTAAATGACAGAACCTTTTATCAGGTCATCCCATAAGTTCTGTCCGAATTTTAACTTTTTGTTTAAATGAACGAAATTTAAAGAGTATTTTATAATGTCTAATGGAGCTGAATATTATTTTTATGTTTTGATGCATTTAAACTGATCAAATTTTATTTCAGAAAACAATAAAATTAAATTTTGTTTGATTAAAACCCTGCTAACATGGAAGTACCCAAGAATCATTTGAGGCACATAATGCTTTATGAGTTCAAGAAAGGAAACTCAGCAGCCGAAGCGGCGAGAAACATTCACTCAGTTTATGGAGGGAAATGTGTGAATGAAAGAACTTGCAGAAGATGGTTTGCAAAATTCAGAGGTGGAGATTTCACCCTTGAAGATGAAGATCGAACCGGACGTCCAGTTGAGTTTGATGAAAAGCTTCTTGAAGCAGCCCTTGAAGAAAATCCTGCTTTATCAGTTGAGGAATTGGCAGTGGTTCTCAGTTCAAACCATACAACTGTTCATCGTCATCTTCAACAACTTGGAAAAGTTCCTAAACTTGAAAATGGGTGCCTCATGAATTGTCTGAAAACAACCTCAAATCCCGAGTTAACATCTGCTCTTCTCTCCATTCTCACCAACTTGTTTCACCTTTTTTGGATAGACTTGTGACTGGCGACGAAAAATGGATCTTTTATCGAAATGTTAAGCGTCGTAGACAGTGGCTTGGAAAAGGGGAAGGACCCCACCCACAGCCAAGAAGGGAACTTCATGGGCAAATGGTTCTTTCAATCTGGTGGGATCACCAAGGAATAATCCACTTTGAATTCTTACCACCTAATGCAATAATTAATGCTCAAATATACTGTCAGCAATTAGAGCATTTGAACCAAGCTTTGAGGAAAAAAAAAACTACTCTAGTGAATCGAAAAGGGGTGATGTTTCAACAGGACAATGCACGACCCCACACAGCAAGAATCACATCACAAAAGATCGAAGAACTTGGTTGGGAGAAAATTCCTCATCCACCTTATTCTCCCAATCTTGCTCCTTCAGACTAGCATTTGTTTCGTAACTTACAGAATCATTTGGAAGAAACAGCTTTTGTAACACAGGAAGAGGTTAAAACTGACATTTGTGAGTTCTTCGAATCAAAGCCGAAAGAATTTTACAGTAATGGAATTAGTAAGCTTGTTAATAGATGGAAGGAAGTCATAGATAATCAGGGAAAATACACTGTTGATTGAATCTGTAACATTTGGTCATTTGTTTTCTTTATTCAAAATTTGAACTTATGGGATGACCTGATACTAAAATAGATTTTTCGGATGCTTTCCTACAAATGGAAGATGACGTGGACCCCTTACAATCAAAACCCACAAAGGTTTATTTAGATATAATCGTCTTCATTTTGGTGTCAAATGAGCACCATATTCCAGTACTAATATAATCCATCTTTTGATGACATTGTGGTTTCAGATACTTCTGACTAAGGCCTTGAAACCGGCAGTCAATAAGCCATTACTTATGTATCAAGTACATTGACAACCGCTGAACGAAACTATAGTTAAAATGAAAAGGAAATCTTTGCCATCAAGAAATTTCATAAGATACTTTATCGATATCATTTCAACCTGGTCATAAACCATAAACTTTTGGTTCGCATTTCTGGATCCAAGAAATGCATTCCTGTTTATATGCTAATTGTTTACAACGAGGGGCCACCATACTATTGGATTATAATTTTACAATCAACTACCATTCAACAAATTCAATTGGTCATGCAGATGCCTTATCTAGACTTCGGAATGCGCCTCGCAAATCATCAGAGGACTCAGCTGTTGCAACAGTGTCCGTGAAACCAGAAATTGCTTCAGTGTTGAAAACCGCTGTAAGAGCACTGCCAGTCGCTTCACAAATGGTCCAGCGGTGGGGGGGGGAACAGTTTCTGACTCTTTATTGTAGAAACAGATTCACTATCGCGGTACAAAGTGGACAGTTGTATGTCCAGTTAGAGCTCCAACCTTTCTTCCATCATTGATCTTCATCATCCGAAGTCAACGGCTTCATTCTTTTTGGGGAACATGTAATTATTCCACTGACCTTGCAAAACAGGATCCTTGAATAATTTCATTTTGGACATCAGGGCATTAGCCACATGAAGGCCTTGGCCCGTAGCTGTGTGTATTAGCTAAAAATGGAGAAATAGCTAGAAGACTTTACTCATAATTGTTAAAAAAACCAGTCACCTTTTTTCATGTTCTGTCGCGGATTCGCCATGATCACGTGTTCACATTAACTTTGCGGGATCCATCAATGGGTAATTATTTTGTGCTTGATAATACCTATAGCAAATGGCTAGAAATTTTTCTCATGAGTCGCATCCATGCTGAAACTGCAGCAAATCTTTTACAGATTTTGAGTACTAGAGACCCTCGTCTCCGACAATGGTACTACCTTCAATTCGGCAAAAGTTTCAAATTTCTGCCAACACAATGGCATTCAACATGCACGTTCACCACAATGACATCCACAATCAAACGGACAGTTAGAACGTTTCGTCGACACTTTTAAGAGGGTTCTCTTAAAACTCAAAAAAGATGGAACTACAACAGAAATCCGAGAAACGTTCCTGCCAATACGTGCTGAGAAAATAAATGAAAGTAAAATTGAATAAATATGAACTTATTTGTTTTGTGAGAAATCTAGGTTATTTTCCTGAACTCATGGTCACCCGAGATACGAGATCGAAGGGTCAACCTCTCTAACCCTTCAAACACACCTTCGTCGTCGGACTCGTACAACTGATCGAATTCTATTTCTGTCAGGTTGGGATATAGACCCCTTGTCGTCGGCGAGTTCGTCGTCGTTATCGTTCGTTGCTTTTGGTACCTTTGAACGATTTCCAAACTCACGTAAATGTGTCTACACTCAACGAAATCCGGGAAAAGTACGCAATCGTACGGGACTTAGAGAAACATTATGACAGATTTATTTCCCTTTGTTGTAATACGCCATTTGATAGTTAGATATCTCTTCGGTAAACAAATAAATCCAATTTAACCCAATTTTGTCAGTCTTGAGTCCTCGAAAAATGGGATTGAGTTCTAAAGTAATGTAACGGTTGAAACAGCAAAATTGTCCAAATCGTGTAACAGCAAAATTGTCCAATTTTTAGATTAAACTTTGAACCGTTGTATCTTAGAAATGATTAAAGGTATCTTACTGGAAACTTTATAACACTATTGAACTCTACTTTGAATACTAAGAATGCATTTAGCTCTAAGTTGAAATGATGATCCCTCTTGCTGTTGTGACCCCCTGTTCTAGTTTTCCTCTCTACTGTTCCCTCTTTTTAAAAACTTATTCACCATTCTCTTGATGTCTTACTGGAATTCTCCGAGGTTTTTAAAAAAATTACTTGACTTTACTTTGAACAATAAGAATGTATTTAGCTCCAAGTTGAAATGATGATACATCTTGCTATTGTGACCTCTTGATCCAGTTTTCTTCTGCACTGGTCCCTCCGTTTTAAGCTTATTCACCGTTCTCTTGATGGTTCTTGAATGGACTTTGAAGATGAAAGCCAGTGTATGAATGTTGGTACCATTACTGAATGCCTGAATGATCTTTTTCCTCTCACCATTGCTCAGTTGGGAAAACATAGTGGGTCTGAGAAAAAACGATTTTAACCTGACCTCTTTCTAGCGGAATAAATCAAAGGGTTTTTCATTGATTCTTACAACATATGGTGTCAATATGGCAAAACGTTTTATCTGAAAACCCGTGAAAAAGAAACTCCATTAGTTTAGTTGTTCTTTAGATATTAAACATTTTGTGGGATGGACAACCATCCCATGTTATTACACGACTCGGACAATTTTGTTGTTACATCCATTATAAGACGCTGTTGACTATTTGACACGGTTTGGGACTAAAAAAAAAACTGCGTCTCATGCACACAAGATTATAGTATTTATCAAAATTTTAATAATCTTCATATTCAACGATTTCAGCCCAACGCGAAAACAAAGTTTTTGAATTTTTATTTAAAGAATTTTTCTGTGTTTTTTTTTTTTTTCACCGCAAAATTAGTTCGAAAGACAGATTCTCAACTTTTTTGTTTCTGGATTTTCTGCCACTCATGAAATGTTCTAGTAAAACCCCGTAAATCCTTTTTGGTTCCACCTTTCGCCAATTGTTTTTTTTTTTTTTTTACTGTATGCTAAGGAAGTTCAACCCACATGAAAAACGTGCTGTTTTTATCAAAATTATTCCTAGCAAATATTAAAAGAGGTTTTCTCCTGTATAACTGATATGCCTAACCCTGAACTTAATTTCACAGCGCATATTTTTTTAAAAATTGCTCCATCTTCATTCAGGACAAAAGCAACCAAGGCACTTCATAAATTTTATTCACTATTATCTGCAAATTGTCATGACTTTTTTGGTAGTGGGGGTGATACTGAAATGCTTTCTTTCTTCCTTCTCTCCGGTTTTGAATTCAAAATAATCTTCACCCTAAATTGGCCGCCATCCAAAGCTAGAGAACCCAGTCTACACTACTATTTAATGTAAACTCCTTAAGTGTTCACCGGATCATGTTAAGAAATATTTTTACATGTCACGTCCTTCGAAGATGGGAGCGGGAGAGGGACCATGACTCACTACAGATGTCTTTTCCTCATTATATGTAAATTGCCATGAACTCGTGGGAAAGATTGTTTGGATTTCAGAGTTTCACTTCTTTTAAACTAGTTTTGACTCAGCGCTTGAAAGTCCCGACTACACTGTTATTTGGATCATAGCTGAAGAGATAAAAATATATTCATTCTTTTTTCAAGGTCATTTGTACGAAAGTGAATGCATCAGACTAGGCCGAAATTTAAATTCGGATCGTCGATTCCTATTTCCGCTAACTGCACATCCCACGTCCCCTAACAATCAGAACGGAACGTACTCTATTATTAATCTCCACCACTAAAAGTCGAGTGGGATTGATGGTAGGCTACAGTTGGTTCAAACAAGATTATTGTCTAAGCAATATCCAAAGCCAAATGTTCCAGCTGTTTAAATCTTGAGCATTTTTTGATGATAGGCGAGCCTGTCTACTCCTATTGATGGAGGAGAGTCAAAAAATTTAAAAAAATAATAAGTGAATAAAATTTCAGAGTTCAAGCGTTCAAGACTTTATGAGTACAGAGCTGAGGCAGACTTTAGAAGGAAGTTGAAACCCAATCCTATACAGGAAAAAGTGGACAGATTTCTAATCAAAATAAGGTATTATCAGAAAAAAAAAATAGCAGCGTGATCTTATAGTTTACAAATTTCTTAAATGAACTATTTTCAATTAGTCTTAATTTTGACAAGAATTTCTTTCAACTTATTTCTTTGTTTCTTTTTTTTTCTTCTAGGATGATACTTATCATTACGGTCACATCACATTGAAGCGCTGTACAATTACCGAAGTTAAGCAACGTCGAGCCTAGTCAGTACCTATATAGGTGACTGCTTGGGAATACCAGGTGCTGTAAGCTTGGATGAGCAGGTGGTGTAATTGATAATGGCTCGGAATTGTTAATCGGAGAAGCGAGCTCCAATTACCGTTCATTCTGTTATATTCACCTACGCGCAAATACCTTGGAAGAAGTATGAATTCACCTCTTCTCCTCCCAGCTATGGGTTAATTAGTAAAACTACCATCACTATAACCATTAGTGTCTAAAAATAAATAAATAAAATTGCATAAAAAATGTTTACATTTCTGCATTAAATAATCTATAGAGTTTGATATGCCACTAAACAAAAACAACTTATCGTTTTCTGTTCATACTGTTTGCTCACGATCATAGAATGACCATCTCGGGTAGTGCGACGTAGTGTACTGGTTAGCAGGCTTCTTTCATTACATCATTTACGACTGAATAGGTAGTTCGAGCTTCACTGGGTGCGCCATATTTTCGGCCTTGTGCCACATCTAAACTATGCTTAGAAAATCCTCATAGAATGAGCAGTTACGACAAAAAGCGAAAGACTTAAATAAAAAAATTGAATAACAACTCAAAAGGATCTGTTTATCGCATCATCTGAATCTTGGCTTTCTGATTGACAGATAGATTCGATTTTTACGGCTTGCCAACCTTTTGCAGGTTATTTAAAGCAAGAAAATATTTCATTGGAGATAATAATGATTTAGTGTTAAAAGTCTTGCTAATTAACCTATAGCTGGGGGAATATAACGAACTCGACTAGAATTGGATTTCGGCTGACTTTCCGATTAACAATTCCGAACCATTATCCATATTGCCCTACGCACATCCAAGTTTACAGCACCTGGTATTCTTAAGCGGTCACCCATATAGGTACTGACCAGGCTCGACGTTGCTTAACTGCGGTGATCGTAAGGGAACCAGCGTTCCAACGTGATGTGGCCGTACGCCAAGTGGCTTTCTACTGACTGCTCTGATATACGTGATAAAATACTATATTGCCATTTTCAGTCTGACTGGTTCCCACTCGGAGACAGCTGATTCATTGCAACGAGGATTTTCTTTTCATCTCTTCATACAAAGGAATTTTCTGATGGTCAAGGTCGGCATAAATGAAGCACAATGAATTTCTTTCCTTTTATCAAAGAATTCTGTTGATCACAAAAAAAATACAAGCAGAATTTGCATTTCACATGTTATTTGGTGCTCTCTTTTGCAATTTGAAAACTTCAGTATCTGTATATTTCTAAGATGGGATATTATGTACACTATTTAAATTATTCAGACTATTGTCTTCATCTTTGTTGACATCTTTGTTTCGGCCGTTGTACGCTCCGGCCTTCTTCAGGTGGTTGGAATGTCGAACTGATATCCATTAAACATGGCACGTGGAACGAGAACAGTCTACCCCAGCGAGCGAAATAAAGGGTTATTATATCAACGACTACTACTACTACTACTACTACTACTACTACTAATAATAATAAGAAGAAGAAGAAGAAGAAGAAGCAGAAGAAGAAAAAGAAAAAGAAAAAGAAAAAAACAACAACAAAGAAAAGAACAATAACAATAACAAGAATGAATAATTGAGTCGATATATGAATCAAATATAAAAGGTGTTCCAATAATTTGGACCGATTTTAAATGGGAATTAAGTTTAAGCGTCTAATGATTTTTTTCTTTTTCTTTCAGATTTGGCGGACATTTGGGCGATATAGTTTTTCACACATAATTGCCGTGACTTAAATAACATGATTCAATAGAGAAATAAATAAATTTTTACCAATAACACAAATTTATTTACTGCCGATTTGATCCATCTTAATGAAACACCCTTATATATAATCAGTGTGAAAGTACGGTTTTTTCTCTTGCATCTTTCTGGTAAATTTAAGAAATTGTTTATATCGTTATAAAATGTCAAAAGTATAGAAAACAATGGTGTTCCTTTAGTCACGTCTTTGTATATATATTGTACTGTTATGGATACGATCAGCATACCAATGAAATTAATACAGTTATTAGTAGAATAACAACAGCAACGGTAATAATTTAGTCTGTTGTTAACTGGGGCAAAGGATGGCTTTTTCATTTCAACGCCTAGAAAACTAAACTTCTCTCTATTAATCATCTGAGAGAACACTCTCTGCCTTCCGTCAGCATGGCTGATGCTGACCTCCAGGAGAGTGACTTAATGCGCCTTCTTGGGCTACCGTTCTTGCCTGACATGAAGTGCAAAGACTATATTGAATCCATTGCTAGGTCTACTGATAGGAATGTTGGTTCACTGCATCGTGCTAGACGATTTTTCTCGCCTGAGTCTATCTTACATGTTTATAAATCTACAATTCGTTCCTGCTTAGAATATTGCTGCCACATATGGCCCGGTGTCTAAAGAAAAATCAGCAACATTATTGGTTTTGATCTGGCATCTCGGCTCCAACACTTCCCACCGCCGTAAGGTTGCTTCCCTTTCCCTTTTCTATAAATACTTTCATGGAAATTGTTCGAACGAGCTCTTCACTATGGTACCTAGACGTTTTAAATTTAAGCGTAGTACTAGACTGGTGACGAAGTCTCACCAATTTACAGTTGAACTTGGCTGGATGCAACCGTAACTTCTATGCTAACATTTTTTTTTTCTCGCACTTCTCGCTCTTCGGCTCCATGCTTTTCCAGTCAAATTTATCTTCAAAAATTTAAATACAATGTCAATCGCTATCTGCTCTCCTCCTGATTACTCTTCCTCTGTTCTCGCACCTTAGCAATGTTCCTGTTTCTAATTCTTCCACACTCAGTAACCCCTCGTGTCTAAGTGGCCTTACTGCCTTGCATGGGGCGAACTCGATTAAACAAAATCATTCAAAAGACCATTAAGGTCAACAAGAATACTTAGAAGAGTGCGTGAGTATTATAGAACTTGCTGTCAGTTGTTATCAGTAAAAATTACCTAATGCTATTGTTGTGGATATCAACGACTACTACTACTACTACTACTACTAATAATAATAATAATAATAATAATAATAATAATAATAAGAAGAAGAAGAAGAAGAAGAAGAAGAAAAAAAAACAACAAGAACAACAACAAAGAAAAGAACAATAACAAGAACAAGAATGAATAATTGAGTCGATATATGAATCAAATATAAAAGGTGTTCCAATAACTTGGACCGATTTTAAATGGGAATTAAGTTTAAACGTCTAATGATTTTTTTCTTTTTCTTTCAGATTTGGCGGACATTTGTGCGATATTATTTTTCAGGCATAACTGCCGTGACTTAAATAACATAATCCAATAGAGAAATGAATAAATTTTTACCAATAACACAAATTTATTTACTGCTGACTTTGATCCGTCTTAATGAAACACCCTTATATATAATCCGTCTTAATGAAACACCCTTATATGTGTGTGCAAGGGAGAGAGATAAAGCGAATCCAAATAAATATATTACGGTCAGATGTTTACTCGGTCTTATTAAAAATGCCAGGTCCTTTCTGGACGCAGACAATCATTCAGTCCACAGATTCCTTTTTTATCATCTACGAATTACCAGGACATCTTGAGATGGATAGTGAATTCGTTTCCTGTTGCCTTCCCCACGATTTTGAATTCAGAGTTTCCTCTTAGACTGGTTGTTACCCAAAGTGAGAGAGCTCAGTCTACCCTACTATTTTAACCCATAGCTATGGAGAGAATATATAGATTAGTGCGATGTGAACACAACAGACTAAGACGGATTTTGAACTCGGATCGCCTATTCCACTTTCCGTGCGGATAACCATTACGTTGCTCGCAAATCTTTCTTTTTTTCTTTGTTACTAATGTTCGCCTAATGCAAGGCCCAAGAGCCGCTCAAGGAAGATGGTTTCTCTGTGTTGTTGTATAGGCATAACAAAGGGCAAAAAGTGAAGTTCCTGGGGCTATGCGGGAAAGATAACGACTAACTCTAGACTTGGAGAGGTCAAGATCTAGTGAGTAACTTTTCAGAGTTTAGTTGGAGACATTAGAATGTATAATGTGGAGTTAGACATTAGAAATCCATTCCTAAACAAGAAACAAGGCATTAAACTCTACTCCTTTTCAAAAGACTGGGGAGGAGTGTTAACTGGACGATAAGCGAACCTATTTACTCCTATTGGGATAAGGAAAAATAATTAGTTCAAGCGGTGATGTTAGGGGATTGGAGAAGACGTTAGATTGTAACGGAAACCCATTCCTAAACAGGAAACAAGGGATAAACCTCTACTCCTGTTCAAAAGACCGGAGAGGACTGTGACCGCATGATAGGCGAACCTATCGACTACCATTAAATTGCAAGAGAATAGACAACCTGCTAATCAGTTTACTTTGAGTTTTGAAATTTTCAATATATTTTGAATATGCAGTCAATTATTGTCATTTTTGGTTGTTATAGATTCTATTATAGTTACAACATTTTGGCCAAGTACCCTTCGGCCATCTTCAGATGCACTGATTTTTTCGTATTATCTGATTACTGTGTTATTTTTGTCAATGTGATTACGTTTATTGTATGTTCATGTTGAAACAGAATATCTGAATTTCACTATCTAGTACGAGGACTGAACTCGCAACCACTAAGTAACTGCAAAACTTTTAACCAACGTCTATATTTCCTGCATAATTATTCTGAAGGACATAAGATGGCATATTTTTGGAATCGTTACATCCAGTGTGACAAGATTTATGATGCTGGTTATTTTTCATAAACATTTCCAACATGAATCAGTCAGTTTAAAAAAACATATTAAATATTTTTGTTGTATAAGAAAGACAAAGTACTAAATCATAACACGACCATTGTATCAAAGAAAGGAAAATGCCTAATGTCCCATTCTGACCAATACAGACCCAGAATTGAAGAGGTAGACGTCGTGATGGAAGAAGATCTTGACAGAGAAGAAAGGATGATTTCTTCAGAATAGAATAATGCAGCAGAAAACGAACCTATATATGAGGGCAGGAGTGACTCAGACACAGAAGATGAAATGAGACTAAGATCTCCATTAAAAACAACAGGACATACACCTCAATGTGGAGAGGAGGAAAGAGGTTGTAGAAGTTTGAGAACAATGAAAGGCATTAAAACTCTTTTGTTCAAAAAGGTGTAGGGGATAGGTAAATAGGATTCTACATATTTGCATAAATCAACCATTCGCTCTTGCATGGAATATTGATGTCATATATAGTCTAGAGCCCCAGATTTTTGTCTTAAGGTCCTCGACAAAACGGAGACGGATATGCAATGTGATTGGCCCTGATCTGACATCTCGTTTACAGTCGCTCTCTCACATATGTGCCCTAGCCTCCCTCTGTCTTTTCTACAAATACTTTCACGGTAACTGCTCCGACTAACTACTTTCGCTAGTTACCAAACTGCATCAGTTTAAACTTGCCACTGGGCCGGCATCTCAGTCCTAACATTTCACTGCTGAAACGGTTAAATGTAGCCGTCTCTTCTACTCCAATAGCTTCCCGTCTGTGGAACTCCCTTCCTATTACTTGTTTCCCTGATAAGCTATAATCTCCAACTATTCAAATGCAATTTCAATCGACATCTCCAGATGCCTTGATCTATTACCCGTCCGTCTCTTCATCCTTTCCTCTTTCACACCTCTTTACTCTTGTTCCCACTCACTGTAACCCCTTGCATGTTAATGGCACTTCGGCTTTGCTTGGGGTGAAAAGCGTAAAAAAATGTTAAGTAGAAGCGATATAAAGTGTATAGTAAAGTAATAGACAGGCGGAAGTCGACTACTGATCACGTATCGTAGAACAATACAATGGAACAGTTTTGTTTTTTGTTTTTTTAATATTACAGAAATTAGAAGCATAATTTAAAAGAGAATATATTTTCTCATGGTAGAAAAAAAAAAGAAAAATGTAAAAATTACTTACGTATCACGTCCGGAGAACCATTTGCATAAAAGACCTCAATATTTCTTGAATGAAATCCATTTTGGCGCAACATGTGGTACATATTGCGTAAGTTAGTCTTGTGCCGCGGGTGAAGGGTGAACCTATTCCACCCACCCGTAATCAGCACTGCCTGATCGCAAATCTCCATCGGTCGACACTGTGTCTCTGTTTGATCTTGCGTAATATCGCAACGCTTTGTGTTAATTTCCAGCGGGTTGCATATTAGTTTTGCCGTTTCTTCTTCGGACGGAAATGAAGGACACGTAGCATATCCAATCACATCCGAGTGACACTTCAGTTTCTGCTTCTTGCCGCTTTCGTGCGGGTGACGCTCGTCCAACACAAACCAAAAAACTGTCGGGATAAAACTGATCTCACATCGCCGCGCTAGGTCAGAGTGGACAGATTTTGGGCCAAGATGGTTCCGGCATCTTTTTCGAATAGCTAGAGTCAAACAGTCTCTGTCTGAAATAGCAATAAAAACGGAAAATATTTGGTAACCAGGTATTCATAATATTACATGTATGATTTTTTAAACAAATACGATAAAACTTACGTACGCACTAATGATTACATAGAAAATTTTGCTTGTAGGTTTCAAATTTCAGAGTTTAGGCGGAGACTTTAGTTGGACTCAAGATCCCTTCTGACCTCACGTAGAACTTATATATACGATCCATCGCTAAAGATACCCAAAAAATGGTATATTCCTTGTACCGCTTCAGAAATACCTGACCTCCTGCCAGACTCTCTTTTTACAAATCAAATTTATTTCATAAGTTCTGGCATCTGATGTGGCGTTGGATTTATTTTACTTGCTACCTATATCTCTGACTGTCTTGGCGGTGGTGGTAATGATCTTAGTGTTGGAGATAACTATTTTTTCTCATTTTTTATATAGCATTGGAGGCTCGGATTATGAATTTTGTATTTTTGTTTTCGATGGTGCCTACTATTTTAAATGTATGTAAAATGCCTGCAATGTTAGAAAAGTTACATGAGCGAAACATCTAAAAATCTAAAAGCACGCATGTCCCCAAATAAAAGCGGCCTACGTTGGAACAACCTATAGAACTCGTTCATAACACACAGAAACAAAACAAAGCCATAACTTCGATTTAATATATACCATTATAATTAGAAAAAAAAACACTATTTATTACGTAGAAAATACTTAGAGAAATCCTGATAAATATCTTACGATCAATAAACACACGTCAAACACACTTTATTATATAGCGAACTTTTATAAAAATCTTTACTTAAAGAATCTAAGGTCTGTCTACTTACAACCACAGCCGATGTAACCTAAATTCTTTCACTCTCACACAAAACATCATATGAGTGCCAGCTATATAGACGATCTTAATTCCAATTTTACGAAAAATTTTGCTCTGTTTAATGAAAATAAACTTTGAGCGCTCTTTGTGAGTCAGTTTTAACATTTAATATTTCAAATTCTATATTGTGTTAATAGGACTCGCTTGGATTATACCAACGGATTACTATATATATATATATATATATATATATATATATATATATATATATATATATATATATATATATATATATATATGGGCACGTGACCGAGTGGTTAGAATGTTCGCATTCTGGTCAGGTTCGAATCTCACCATGGACGATTTGCCAGGAAGGTGACTTCCTGATGTTATCGGACTGGAGAGTCGATCCTAGCGTGCGGAAAGTGCCTGAAGACCATATCACGGTTGACCCAAGCCTTGTGATTGAAATTGGGTAGACGGAACCTTTGGATAGCTGTGCTAGCACGAAGTCACAGGTCGTCGTGGCCGAGGGATTGAGCGTGCTTGCCTTGTTCAAATTGTTGATCATGCTAGATAGCACGCTCTTTCCCAGAAACTGTAACTAAAGTCTGCTCAGCATAGTTGCAATATAAACCACAGTTAGTCTTTGTGGGTTTTGATTAAGCACAAATGCACCTGAGCTAGTAGACGGGTATCCTCGAATACGATTGGCCAGCTACACACACACACACACACACACACACATATATATATATATATATATACATGTATGATAGTAAAGAAAGATTGTTCACGCATGCTTCTTGCATAATTTTTATAAAAACATGCTTGAACAATCTTCATATATATATATATATATATATATATATATATATATATATATATATATATATATATATATATATATATATTTATTTATTACCAACCTAATAAATTAAGCTTAAGTTTATAAATAAATCATTTATTGAAGCAATGGAATTGTAACTAAATGTTAGGACGAGTCATATATAGTTTGTTTTGGAGAGTTTTTAAGTAAAAAACTTGATACACAAAAACACAAAATTATTTATAACGCAACCCAATAAATTTGTTAGAATTAATCCATACACGGACGTATATGAAGTGTTTATAATTTGTTCTGAATTTTTATGATGTATTTAATTTATGTGCCATCACTACTCTCATTCTAAGTGCAGATGATGGTTTCTCTTTTGTAATAGTTTTTATCTTAACGTTGTCACTCTTAAGACATAAATCTAATCAGCTAGTGACTTAAGGACATATCATGTTGGAATACCGGTTCCCGTACAATCACCGAAGTTAAGCAACGTCGAGCATGGTCACTACATGGGTTTCCAAAATTATATAGATGACCGATTGGGAATACCAGATGTAAGCTTGGATGTGATTGATAATGGCTCGGAAATGTTAATCGGAGAGTCGAGTTCAGTTGGGTTCGTTATATTCACTTATACCCTTGATAAAGATATTAATCTACCATTTCTCCCCATATATGGGTTAATTAGCTAATTAGTAAAATTTGTATCACTAAAGCCATTATTAACTGCCTTACGGTCATATAGCGTTGAAACATTGGTTCCCGTACAATCACCGAATTTAAGCAACGACGAGCCAGATCAGTACCTAGATGGGTGAGCGTTTTGGAATACCAGCTGATGTGAGTTTGGTTATGCGGGTAGTATAATCAATAATAGCTCGGAATTGTTAATCAGAGAGCCAAGTTCCAATTCCAGTTGGGTTCGTTATATTCACTTGTATGCAAATACACTTGAGAAAGGTACGAATTCATCATTTCTCCCACCATATATGGGTTAATTAGTAAGACTTGCATCACTAAATCTTTTAATTATCTCCATAAAAATACTTAGCCTAAAAATATTTTCTAGCTTTAAATAACCCGCAAAAGGTTGATAAGCCGTAAAAATCAATCTATTATTATTATTAATGGATTATGAATAGTTTTAATTTTGTAATAAAATAGGTTTAATATATATATATATATATATATATATATATATATATATATATATATAATATATATATATGACATCATAGAAAACGAATCAATCAATTATAAAAACAATATATAGAATATAATTGCATAGATAATATTTAGATTTTGGCATTAAATAACCCATATAGAGGTGTTGATATGCCGCTAAAGAAATACAACCAACCAAGCAATGATCAGATTGAACGTAATTTAGTCGCGATTTCAAATCCTATCAGTGGAAATGATACATTTTTTTTCTTGTTTTAATAATCGATACAGAAAAATTTACAAAAAAAAAACATATTGCGAATTCCGTTGACTATGTAATTGTATTCTTTACAAAAAAAGACGGAGACGATGAGTATTTAACGAATTTATATTTTTTGTTGTATATTTAATTCTGGCATCAATACAGGTAAAACGATAGAAAGAAAAGAAAAATGAATAAAATAAATAATTGGAAAATGAATTCATACGATAGACATCGTTGTTTGGAGAAAAGATTTAAAAAAAAATGCAATGTTTTCTTGATGCTACGTGCAAACAGTTTGTATGTACTTTATCTACTGTTTACTTTTATTAGTCACTCATTATCATCGTAGACTGATTCATGTCCAAACACCATTTTTTAATATCAAAACAGATGATGTGTATTGTACGTTCCAGTCAGCCATCTTAGAGTGCATTCTTTCTTAAGTGTAATCGGGAGAGTCTAAAAGATAATTTCCCAATCCTGATATTTGACAATAGCAGATATAATTCCCAGCAAATGAAAAGGAAATAATTTGACCAATTAACTCGGAGAAAAAGATGGTTGTAAACTTAACACGTGGTTTTCTTAGTCAGTGTTTCTTCGTCGCAAGAGGAAATGTTTACCTTTCGAACTCGTCGGGAAATAATCAAATAATCGTGACGATATTTTAGAAAAAGTGCCATCATATTTTCTTTCTTTCTTTTCTTTTTTTTATGCTGTCTTTGTTTTTTTCCCACAGAGGAAATGTTTACGATTAAGATTGGTCTCAAATCATGTCCTGGTCAATAGGCATTCTTTTTCCATCAGAATCTAAAGATGCCGATAATTTATTTTTTCTCAAATAGAAAGTAATAACGACTATTTTACTGTCAATGATGACTTTTAGAATGAACAAATCGAGTAACAATTTAACAACATGAATCTTTACGCTACGGTACGGGATGGTCTTTTAGCTATGAGTAGACTTGGTTTTCTGGCTTTGAGTGGTAGCCATTTTAAGAGTAGGTATACTATAAATACAAAACTGTAGAGAAGACAACGGCACACCAATCTACTATTTTCCCCAAGAAGTAAAAGCAATTCAAAGATAATAATGAAAAGGAATCTGTAGAGAGCCATAATCGCCAACACCCTGAAGGGATATATTATTAAAAAATTAAGTGATTTACTGAAGTTGTTAACCGCGTAGCAAATTACATGTGGGACACTCTACGATCTGTAGAGATAAATAATAACTTTTAGGTTGAGTCATAAATAATCTGTTTATCAACTTTATTCTTCAAAAAATAAAGTTTAATTAAATTCTATTCATTTCTGTTTTAACCATTATTTGCAATGACTTGTCGCTACTTATGAGCTTACGGTCAAATCACGCTGAAACACCGGTTCTCGTTCGATCACCGAAGTTAAGCATCGTAGAGCCAGGTCAGTGCTTAGATGGGGGACCGCTTGGGAACACCTGGTACTGTAAGCCCCCAAAGTCCAACCCTTACCTCACAGTCGGTGGGGGGTGTAAACGGTAGTGTCAGAGCTATGCCGCCCGGAACTTCGTTCCTGGTAGGGCCACCCAAGGCGGACAGGTCTGACACACACACACGCCGGCTAACAAGGGCTCTGGTGAAAATCCAAGGAGCGTCTGCATCGGTAACCGGCGGCTTCTGGTCGTTCCTGTCTCTGCGTCGGTAGGAATCCCGCGGCAAGCAAGAACGTTATTCGAGTAGGCCTGGGTACCCTACTTCTGTAATTTATCCCAAGAATCTTCTTCTCATAACAGGAAGAAGCCGGCTCAATCCGCCCAGGGTGAATGCCGCATCAGTACAGTACTTATGAGGCAGGTCTTCGATAACTTTTTGAATACAATTCCGCAGGTTTTAATGTGGGGAACTTTTGGACGAATTCTTTGTTTCCTTTAGAGGATTTTTTCCCCATCAAAACGTTTTGTAGTGATAGAAAAAGGTAAATACAGGGGAGTTCACAATTGTTGAAACAAAGCAGCAGCCTCTTAAATGAGAAGCGTGGGGACCTTAATGAGGATGAACAGTGGTTCCAGCAGGATGGTGTACCTCTTCACACTGCTAATGTTACCATGGCATGGCTCCGTGAAAATTTTGAGGAGCGTCTCATCAGCCGCAAAGTTGGTGGAATGGGCACCTGACTCGCTTAACCTGAACTCCCCAGATTTCTTCCTCTGGGAGTTGATCAAGGACAACATCTACCAGAGCAACCCTCGCACCATTGCTGAATGAAGGCAGCCATCACTGTGAAGATCCAAGAAATCACCCAGGAGGAACGTACACGCGTTATCAACAACTTTGCATTCAAGAGTGCCTTCAAATGAACGGCGGACGACTGGAGTATGTACTCTAGGTTTTCTCTTGACATTTTTAGTTCATATTTGAGACTAAATGGTTGCAGATCCTAAAATGTTATCCTTTTACCTTTCCATAAATATAATTTCCATTACTCTATCATTTGTGGTCATTGACTTGTTCCCGATCATTTTGTTTCAAAAATCGTGAAGCACCCTGTAATCAGTTGGTGCAAAGTCAGAAGAGGCTGGGGTAGAGCAGGTTGAGTAGAGCAGAACAACCGAGTTCCAATTTTGTCATATTATATTCTTGTTGCACGCGGCCTTGCATTGTCACGGAGAAGAACAATATTTTTCCAGTTGATGAGCGCAATGCGCCTTTTCACCAAACTTTTATCGACACGTTACAGCTGCTGGGCCTAAAAAACAAGCATTTAGTGTGTCACTGCGTTTTGAGAAACCTAAGTAAATAATCACACATTCAACGTTAACTTTCTTCTGAAGTTCTACTTTTTGGTGTTGGCTATGGAGATTTATATCCGACGATCTATTTCCTTTTGCGTTAAACATTGTTGTATGTAACCCATTTTTCATCGCCTGTTATAACATATTTAAGGAATGTTTAGTTAGGGTGATACATTCGACATTCTCCAAAAAACGAAAATTACTTATGGTCATGGTAATATTAACCGTTTCCTCATAAAGAAACATTCGGCATTTATTGACCGAGCAGCCAGTGCTACTTTTAATTAAAATACTCAAAATAATAAATAATAAACGTGTTATAAAGTTACCCTCAATTCTGTACTTTTCTACCATTGGGTGATTATATGCAAGTTTGAAATAAATAGATTCTCATTTAGTAAATAAATTAACCAATTTGATGCTTTTTATCATTCCATCATTTGTTCAGATATATCAATGAAGTGTCTTAGAGGAATTGTCTGAGACTATCAAAGTCTCTTATAGAATTATGAACTTTAAAAAAAATATTCAGTTTTTAAAAGTGTGGAGTTGATATTTGCGATGCTTAACTATAGTTTATTATTAATAGTTTTACTATTTATAGATTCAATATTGTAGCAGCACGTTTATTATTAATAAGGTTATTATTACGATATTTATTATTAATTGGTTATTATTAATAGGTTTATTATTCATAGGTTTGTGGAGACACGGTTGAGTAATGGATTGTGGCTCGGATTGAGGAATCAGAGAGCCGAATTTGAATTACAATCGAATTCATTACATTCACATACTTGCTAATACCCTTGCGAAAGGTATGAACCTTCTTCCCCTCCCCCAGCAGTAAATAGCAGGGCAGATCGGGTTCTGTAGCCTTGGATGGCAACTAGTCTACTGCAGAAAGAAATGGCAACCTTCAGCGGGAAAAATCTGCCTCGTCAGACATTTATTGAACGATACATGATCATTTAAGCGTGTATCACGCATGGCACATAACTGACTGACTTACTATTAAATTCAAACAGAGTTTGTTATTAATAGGATTATTATTATGTTATTATAGGATTATTATTAACAAGATGTGCGACCGTCAGCAGCTAGAAAAAGAAATCAGCGTGACGTTTGTTTTTATGCAAATATCCTTTAAAATGTATGAATCCACACTTTTTTCCCAGTTATGAGTTAAACAGTAGAGGTGGCTGGGCCCTGCAGTGTTGGTTAGCAACCAGTCTCAAAGGGCCACTTTGAATTCAATACGGGTTGGGCATGGGACGAGCAACTACAAAAACAGCAACGCCTAGTTGTGGCATCATACACATCAGGATAGTCTACGGAACTTGACTCAGAGAGTTTTATTATTAATAGTTTTATTATTATTAATAGGAATTGGAAATGAGAGAGCCGAGTTTCAATTCCAATCGAGTTCGTTGTACTCACGAGCAAATATCCTTCGAAAGGGTATTAATCCATCTCTTTTCCCCCAGCTGCGGATTAATTAGTAGACCTTGTATCGATGAATCATTATTATCTCGAAAAAATTTTATAGTCTAAAAATATTTTCTAACTTTAAATAACCCTTTAAAAGTTTTTCTGGCTTTAAATAACCTGCAAAAGGTTGATAAGCCGTAAAAAACAATCAC